ATGCATTATTCTTTGGTCATTAGGAATCACAGCTGGAAGGATTTGTATTTGACTTCCATTGGCCTGCATTTCTCTCTCCAGCGGGGGACACCTTCTGTAACCTCTGTTGCCTTGGGGACTGTGACTTCTAGTCTTTCTAAGATAAAGCATATTTTGTGGTAGCACAATATGCCTCCAGCCACCTGGCAGCCAAAACAGCCTTCAGCGATGAGTCAGCAACTGTTCCCGGTGTGCAAGTATTTTTGTTTTCAGTGAATAAATAAAATCACAACAACTTATTGCTAATACTTGTATTAGTCATTAAAGGAAGAACGATGTTTTTATGTATACATATGCCATTCTTCTTCTTTTGCTCTAAAAGTTCCATTTATGGCCATATTTAATCCTTCTAGTTAAGATGGGATCAGGATTTGACCCTTAACCATCTGGAAGCCATGAAGCAAAGTCAGAAGTTGCCCATGAGATCAAGAGGGTAGACAGGTGTACCCTTCTGTATATGTGATAGGAATGTACCAGATCCACATGCCACATGTGTATATGATGAACATATTCTTGATTTTTTTTTAAGGAGGAAAATTAATGGTGTGTATGTGTCAGGTAAAAATGAACCCTATTCATCTGTTAAACTTTTTTGCTCAAGGATTCAAGGAGCTGTGTCAGAGGGACAATATTTCTTCAAGGTTTTTTAACTGTCCTGATCATCCCTTGATTTCCCCATGCAAGGGCTTGGTTGGAGTAAAAAGCTTTTGACATCTGGGGTACTATTTGACAGATCTGTATGCTTAAGGTGTGAAACTTGTATTAGGAATTAATTATGGGAAGGGAATAAATGTCAGGTCAATCATGCCTCTCTTTCATTTGCTTCCAGTAAAAGTCTTGCTGGGTTTTTTTTGTGTTTGTTTACCAGTATTCTGGCTTTTAGTTCAGCACAGTTCATGGAATAGGCTTTACTAATGTACTGTTGCTGCAGAGGACACTATTCCTGTAAAATGGCCTTTCCTTATGACTCACTGAAGCATTCATGCTAACGCCTCAGACAGACAGTCTCTTAAGGATATCCCCTTTAAAAAGCAGCAGCTGCAATAGGAAATGGTTTTATGTGTTTCCAGCTTTGTGTTGACTTACTGTATTCACAAGTCTAGTCTTCTTCAGCTACAGTTAGTGTAGAGGGCAAAAGAGGCTTCTTTCCATCTTGGGAAAGGAGCTTCAAAATGTTAATTGTGTTGCTACCACATGGAGGTGGCAAAGTGTTCAGCCCTGATACCTCTGTGCACTAGTGACTCTGAGGATTGAATTGTTCTGATGAGGGACAAATCAGCATAGTGAATCTTAGGAAGGTTATAAACCTATGCCACAATAGTTATGAGTCTTAGAAAACTGTAAGGATTTACTTTAAACGTATCACATCTGAAAAATGTAGATGCCAAATTCATGGAGTCACTCTCCTGAGTTTTCTGTCCTTCCTGGCAGCTAAATTATAGCACACCAAAAACCCCTCAGTCTTGAAATACTTGAGTATTTTGGTCTTGGCAGAGGCGTATCTAGGGAAAAGCTACTGAAACTTGTGAAAAGGTCATTTTTTAGGTTGGGCCAGTTCTTTCCATAAATTGCTTTATCTCTACTGCAAAGGATATCTGCCATTTCCATTTGGTGTCTCTTGTCCCATGCGGGATTAGTACCACGGAAAGCAGATGAGCCCAGAAGTGAAGTCATAACTCTGTAAGCCCCGTGAGCCAGGCTTGCTGCTGAAGCAAGCAATCCCAGCTTGCTCCTCTCCTCAGGTCACCTTTCTGTTGTGCTGGCACAAGCATCAGCTTGACTACATGATGCCATGGATCAGATGGATTACGACAACCTGATCAATAGTAAAGGCAACTTCTTTATCAGATCAGCTCTGGCCTTGATCATCGTCCTGCTCTAGTTCATTGTCCTGCAGTAGCGTGAGGAGAGGACAGTGCGAGTGGGCTGCTGCAGTGCGCACGCCAGGGAAAGTGTGTGTGGAACAACAGCACCGCGGAAGGAAGTGCTGGCTGAATACGGACCCAGGGAAATACTAGCCCCAGGTCTAGGAATAAAACCTGGAAAGCTGCCCTTAGCCTAGTGCTCTATTTTTTCACTTCAAAACAAAATTAATGGTGTCAATGTCCTTCATAAAGTGATTTGAGATCTTATGCTTCTTATAAGCAGGGGGAAACAAGGGTAAAATAATTCCTGTTCTGCTCTTGCGTGGAAATCTCTTTGAGTGTCTTAGGCAAGTAGTGTGAAACATTTTTAACTGGAGAAGGACAAAAATGCTGCACCAAAAAAGTGGCCTCAAGAGGCAATGAAATAAACACAGTAGAATATAAACTAAAAAAAAAAAAAAAAAAAAAGAAAGAGTTTTTCTCAGTATTTCTGCTACTATATCCCAGTGGTTCTCTTGCAGGTTTGTAACCCTTCTTAAAGTAGAGCTCTAAACCACTTATTTACCAAATAAAAACAAAACCCAATACCTTCCTCAAAAAGCTCCCCCCCTTAAAAAAAAAGGGGAGGAGAATGAGCTTAATCCTTCCACTGTTTTTCCCTGACATGGCCTCCTTTACCTGTCACTGCACAGAAGTAATCCTTTTCTCCTGAGGTGATACATAAAACTTAAGGAGGAGACAGAATATTTAGAAATCTGTTATGGTGTGTGAGAAGTACAAAGTGGCCTCCTACATTAATACTGGAATTCTTACACGTGGAATAGTTGAAATTGCACATGCCAGATCAGCACACCTCCTCACATCTGCCCTCAAATTAACCCGCTTTATAAAGTGCCCTGAGAGAGAGTCTACCAAGGAAGCTGAGATATATTTCAAGTTTAAGATTTTGATACCAATTTTTAAACATTCTTTGCATTTCCCATACTAAGTCCCTATAAGACACTTCTTTACCCTCTTGACTGCCAATAGAATAAAATAATCTGCCCAAGCAGATTGTCTTCAGAGCATCTATAGTATGTTTGCCCACCATGCTCTCCTAGCATAGCTCCCTGCTTGTGGAAAAGGCGGTGTTGTGCTTCCGTGCCACTTCATTGACCTGCTACTCTGAAGACCTCTGTTTAAGGAGCAGTCTGCTTAAGCTGTAATAGCATGATAAAAACATGGTATCTAGATGTCATTGGGCCATTGTGGTTCCATGTGCACGTTTGAGCAGGTTTGGGAGTCTGGCTCTATGGAGGAGGATGAGAAGAATCTCTGGAGCTTGATGGGGAAGAACAAGCTGGGTCAAACCAAACGGCAAGTAACAAAACAAAAAGCATCTTGCTTTTTGAGACTAAATTAAGTTTGTGTAACCCAGCCCTAGGGGATAGTTTATAGAAGATTGTTTTCACCTGTAAACCTGGCAATGCCTGGACAATCAGTATGGACTGAACCCAGGGCTGGTTGCTTTGAAGTAAATGATACCAGTCTCTAGAGCTGCTGTCTGTGGGTTGTGCTCCAAATACAGTGGTGTTGAAATGTGTGATGGGATCTATGTGAACTCTTCTAAATCCAGGAGGCAACTGTTAATTCTTGAAGGTAAGAAAAATGACCCACTGGTAAGATGCGAGATGAGCACAGGTTTTCTGACACCTGTTTTGTGCGTACTTGTGGTTCAAATGGCACACTCACACTGAAATACAAACATAACTTAATGGCTATCGGGGGGGGCTTTGAAGAGCTGTCTATTGACACATCTCCAGTACACCAACTCCAGTTGTGACTCTCTCTTAGTTGTGATTACGTAAAGAACGCCTTGCAACCGTGTTGTTCTGCCCTGTTGGGCTAATCTGAGTTGAAACATCTTGTTCGTATAATGTGCTTCAGTGCTCTTTTATGAACTCCTGTGTACTGAGGCAAAGTTGTTGGAAGCCAGTCTTGTGTTTCCTTGTCTGCTGGGGATTGGGGGTGAGGGGAGAGATTGAGGCTGTTTTGTTTTGTTTTCCAGAAATGATCAGTCCTGCTTAGCAAATATGGAATTCTGGATGAGAAAACAAAGACTGACTTCTAATAGAGGGTCGGTTATTGAGGTGAAATAGTATCCCAGGCTGGGCAATGTAAAGAGAAACCCACCTGTTTGTATGAGATGCCATTAAAGTGCAGGAAGGTGGGGGTATAATCGGAGCCGCTTTTGCAGGGGTGATTACATATAACAAAAGAAGGAACAGTGTCCGTGCCCCAAAGCTGCATTCTATAGTCTGGTGTCCCCCTGAAACTCAACTCCTGTGTTTCTTCCTTGACAATGGGACCTGAAATAACCTCTTGGTTTTGGTTTTTTGTGTGTTTTCAAGTATGTTCTTGCTTAAGGTTTAATTGGCTCCAGTCAGTAGGAAAGGGCTCCAAGGCTGATTATTTATGGCTTACTGTCAAAAGTGGCTATAAAAAGGGCAGTATTATCTTGGAGATGCTGGGAAGGAAAATGTGGTGGGGGGAGGGTGGGGGAGTGTGTGTGTGCACGAATGTGTTTTCTTGTACTAGATGAAATCAGAGTTTTGCTGTCTCAGCAGTGTGGTTTAAATTGAAGATTAACCCTTTGACCTTCACGGTGTCAAATCACTTACAGATGGATCACCAGTTATATTTTTTTCTTTTTTTTTACTTTTGGGGTGAAGGGGGGCTTTTTTTTTAAAAAAAAAAAAAAGGTTGTTTGTTCATGCAGCTGGGGCTTTTGAAAGGCTCAGAAGCCAATCTGATTAAAAACAGCACTTGGCTAAACTCTGCAAAATCCTACAAGCAAAAAAAAAAAGTTTAATCCTCTTGTGCACAATGCATAAAGGGTCTGCTCTTTTCTTTTTGTAATGTTAGAGCTACAATTATTTCTGGAGAACTTATCATTTCCCTCTCTCCCCTCATCCCTTGCTGCACCCCCTTGTTATGCTGATGGGATTAAAGTGTCTGCTCTTGAAAAGTGTAACTGAGTTGTTATTGGAAAAGAGAAGTGGTATGTTGCAATTTTAGAAATATAAATAACCTTGCTTCAACTGTTCTTCTCTACAGCATCAGCAGAACAGAAATCAAGTGTGGTGGCAGCTTTTTCTCTTCCTACACAACTTGGCCTTAAACGCGGAGGCGAACAGGAACCACACTGGGCAGAGGTGAGCTTCGCCCGCCTGTTTCAGGCCACATCCAGTCTGCAGGGAGCACTGAACAAACACTGGTTCGGGGGCGAGACATTGCACACCGCCGGCCGGATGTGAGGACTCTGAATTTCTGATACTCGTCTTCAAGTTTGGGGGTTTTTATGGACTCTTCTTTGCTGCTGCCTGCCTCGCGAGGCAGGGAGCTCTTGTCCAACACTGTCGAAGGAAAGCCAGAATGTGGGTGTGTTTGGTAAAGCTTGCTGCTGGTTCCCCACGCCGGTGACCTCTGTGCAAGGGAGGGCTTCCGCTGCCCTGTGTGTTAGTCAATGGTAAAGTGCAGGAGTGTCATTTTGGCTGCTAGTTAAAAACGATGTCTGGGATTGATGACTCTAAACATACTTTGGGCATCTTCCAGAGCAGAGATGCTCGATTCCTCCACAAAGAAAGTTATTTTTAGCAATGAAAACATTCAAGTAGCTTATATCCATTGGGTTGCTTGTTTTCTGCATGGGTTACTGTTTATTTCCTTGCATGCTGTGTGAGAGAAAATCACAAAGAAATCTGATCTCTTCCATCTTTCCATTGGGCACCAGTTGCAGCTCTCTCACATGAATTTGTTCTTTGTCATTGCCATCAATAGACAAAATCGTTTCAGTAGAACAGTCTTAAAATTAAACCTTCTTGGGGTTGCTGGTGGCTATTACTTTCTGCCACTGTTTCCTTCCAGTTCAGTGTTCGCCGTGCCCGTGAGTCAGTGTGAAGCCAAAAACCATGGAATATGACACAAGCGTCATTCTTCTGCAATGCTAATGTATATGTTTTTATTAGTTTTATGATGGGTGTTTATTTTGTTCTGTTTTTCTTTTCTCTTACTATAGTGCGATTGGTCAGGAAGGCTTAGGTCCCAGGCATTCGATAGTTTTGCTTCGGGATTTAACAGGGAAATGAATTAGCAACTAGTCTGGCACGTACACTGTACAAGCAGCCTGTCCATTACTCTCGTGTGTAGTGTTTGGAGGCTGCTGGAAGCATATATTGACTAGCAGCAGTAACAGTACTTCAAGGGAGGTCTTGTACCAGTTCCCGGTTTGTATGCACTCGGAAGTTTGTCCATATGACTGACACTATTGGACCAGCACAGGGAAATTACCCTGCCAAAAGGAAGTAGCCTTAAATATTGATGGCTATTTCTCTGTAGCCTTGAATACCATTCATTTACAAACTCAGTGACAACTAGGGTAAAACATGAACAGAAAGGCAATACAGACTTTATTTTCTTCAGACTGCTTCCATATTGCCACTGCACCTTGTTGTAGGTCTCAGATGATACAACCAGCGTGAGGAAGAGCTGTCCAGAGAATTGTTCTTCAGTCCTGTTCAGGTGTTGAGGAATTCTGCTCTTGGTCCACTCTGAAGAATAAGCATTACTGTACAGGAAGAGTAGTTTACTTGCACATATGCTTTCTCCTCCACTCCTCTCTGCATATCCTTCTCTAACTCATGCTTCCTTTGGTATTGGTATAATCTCATCATTGCACTGTAGTGTCTGGTAGCAATTTGCTGAACACAGTTACATTTGGACTTTCTGCCTTTCTCCTAGCCCCATTCTCTTGATTTGCATCCTGTTCTACTGTGGCAAAATGTGCTTTAGCTCCCTGAAAGAGGTCCCAAGCCTTTTTCACTTTCATGTATTCATAGTCACACTCTTTCAACATAAGGAGAGTTTATGCGAGAAAAGCTTTTTTTTCTCCTATTATTTTTCTAGCTAGAGCTAGAGTCGTGTTTGTCCATGATGGTTAATAATTCATATAAATGAATCTCAAGTAATATTTTGGGGGGTGGGTTTTATGGAGAGGGAGGGTGGGAGGTTTTTTTAGGAAGGGGGATTGTTTTTGGGTTTGTGTTGTTTCTTTAAGCATGTGCACTACAGAGTTGCCCAGAGGGATACCAGTGATAGCTGTTGCTGATTGTGCTGCAGCAATATGGGAAGCCACTCTCTGCCCATGCTGACAGAGATGAGGCTTTCCATACCCTGCTTTGCACAGTCTGCTTGGAGTAAGCGCTGGTCATTGGAGAATGAGGACTTAAATGGAGAGGAAAGCCTGAGGGGTAGTGCAAGGACAGACTGAACTGGGGACCCCTGAGAAGCTGGATGCTAAGGAGAAGACTCTTAAATCAGAAGCTCTTAAAGAGGCAGGAGTGGAAGTGCCGAGGCTCAGGAAGCAATGCAGCAATGCTGCCTGCCTGCACAGTGTGCTCTAGGATTTCCCACTGGTTGCCAGGACCCCTTTATCAGGAACAGTCAGAGCTACATCATAACTGCCCTGCAAGCTACAAAAAATTCAGCAAGTGTATCTGACACTTAAAAACATCGTGAGCTTTCCCCATCCCCTCTGCCTTGACTTGACTTGACTTCTAAACAGGGCAATAAGGCCTGCTCTCTGGATGCATAAGCTGGAAAGATAGGTCTGGTACTGGTGCTTTCTGGTGTTGCGACTCAACCAATTTATCTAGGGTAAGACTTTTCTTAACATGGGGAAACAAGTGTCTGAAACTATTCTTCAGTCAGGCTGCCTCTCTCAATAGAGTCATTTGGCTCAGGGAAAGACACATCTTTGCCAGTCCATATTTCCCCCTGTAACAACAGACTTATCAAAATTGGTCGTGCCAGGGTCTCAAGTTAAAATCTCCTTGAACAACAATACTTCATTGGAGACATAGAGCTAATGCTAGACAAAGGCTGACTTCCTGCAATATGCATGTTGGTTACTAGTGCCAGAGATTTACAACCACCGATAATATATTTTAATTATATTCCATATCTGCATATCTTGGAGAAAGGAAATATGCTCTGTCAACCCAAAAGTCTTATTTTGCTTTGTGTAGATTTGGAGGGGCAGGCTGGATATTCACTTAGGGAAAAGCATCTACTTCATACTTACAGTCTCACCTGCTTAAGGAAATAGTGGGAAGATTTAATACCTTCATCAACAAATACACAGATGCACAATACCCATGTTTTTGTCACCCATTCCATATTAGTAAGGCCCTTTGAGCACACACTGAGGAGATCTTCCCTGAGGAGTAGCTACTGCAGTGTGGCCACAGACATACATCAATTGTTTTGGGGAAACGGTTCCAAGGAACATGATTTAAGTCCTGTTGATGAAGGAATATGCTCAGGGTTTTAGATATTAGTTTGTCTTGGTAAAAGGAATGGGAACAACGTTTCTCTGTGTTGTAGTTGTAAAACTACCATCTGACAATTTAGAAAGAACAGTCAGATCTTTCTCCTAAAACAAATTCCTATTTTTAATGAGCAGTTCTTAAGAAGAGCTTGAGCTGCTGCTGATAGTACCAGCAGCCTTGGACTTCCCTAGATCTCCAAAACTACTTCAGACCTCAGGTCTCTCCTTGAGGGATGGAGTTCTTCCTGTCCCTTCCAAACTTACCACCCTTTTGAGTATCTTGTAACCTGCCCATCTCTGGATCCAGTAAGCCTGGTGCTAGCAGGGAATAGTTAGTTTTACTTTTGTTTCCTGCAATTCTTGAAAGCTGAGCCAGTAATCACAAAGTGACTGCCCAGGGATAGCTGCAACCCACCATAAATAGGATACAGCTAAGGCAGGGGGAGGGGATGAATTCGCATGGAAGGTGTTGCCATTGGATCTATGTGTGGGACTGCAGCTTTCTCCCAAGGTGCTGATAATCCCTGGTAGGACTGAATTCCTGCATAGCTCATCACATATCTCAGTTTAAATAGCTGGTTGTTACTAAATGTTTATTGGCTAAACTCTCGTTAGAGGGGTCTTGAAAGAAACTTCTTTATCAGCCTTTGCTTTGGAGCTGTGTATCAACAGAGGCAAGGAACACAGTTCTTCTTGATGTAGAAAGGGTGATTGCAAAGACATCTTCCTTTCTAATGGCCATTTACTTTTCCCCCTCAAGCCTGGATTAAAGGTATAGGCCGTGCGTGCGTGTGAGGTTACTACAGTCCTGGAGTTGCTCCTTAGCAGTCACTGGAGCTGTACCCAAGGTTGAACTTCATTCAGTGTGGGGCGTAGCACTCTTTTGGGAGACTGCAGATTCTGCCCATTAGTAGGCTAGAGAGAAGGGTTGGGTTTTTTTAAGAAAAAGCAAAATTACTTGAGGCAGTTGTTGCAATGTGACCCCATCCACTCTACAATGAATTCCACCCTTCCGCTGCTGGTCCTGACCCCTGTGTCTGCTGAAGCTGTGGGAATGGTGAGACTGTGACATGCTGAATGGTGAGCTGTTGAGGGTATTTTTAAAAGGAAAAATAGGGAGAGCACTCAACATAAGTGCTAGGATCAAACAAGAATGCAGATATGCGGAGGTCTTGCCTTGTTTTACCAGCAATATTTACTGCGGGATTATAAGTAAAAGGACCATGGAATGCCCGTTCATATTCATGGGAGCTCTGCACATGGACCAAGCACTATCGAGTATTAGCATAATTTGACAACAAAGGTTTTTAATAATGTCCTTCAAAAGAGTCTGTCTTTCAAAGTGGCATTTGTGATCATTTGCAAAAAAGCCTACCTGTTGCCTTTGATTGTTTTAGCAAGAAGAAATACCTCAAGGAATTGATAAAAGATCCTAGGACAATCTTTTACAGTTCCTAAAGACTTCAGTGGTCTCTGTTTCTTTGGTTTGCGTGTGTTCACACAGGTGTTACACAGCTCAGTTCTTCTCCACCAGGAAAAGCAGAAAAGACCAAACACATCAAATGCACTGGAATGTAATTGTGTGTGGGTGTGTGCGCGTGTGTGTGCGTGTGTGTTCTTAAACTGAATGCCCTCTGACATCCCCTACCCCTTCTTTCTTCCACGTGCCTCACCTTTCCCCTAAGCCACAGAAAGGAGGGTCTCTTCCTGTGAATCCCATGCTGGAAGTTGGTTTCTGGGAAGCGAAACCTAAAGTCTGTGGGCTGTTTTTTAAAGCCATGTTTCAGTTCTGTCTTCAGACTCTTTGCTGCCTTTGGGGAACGGAGGGGTGGGAAGGGTAGATTCTTAAACTGTTTTTAAAATCTATTATGGAAATTTTGCATGTATAAAGTTATTCTTAAATCTAAAGGAGTCTCCCCGATTTGTGGACACAGCTCCAGGAGAGCATCGTCACAGATTCCTCAGCTCCAGTTTTGATCAGAGTATTCTGGAAGGAAAATTTGATGACAAAAGAGGGAGAGACTGGTGTGATGGAAACACAACATTGTCAGTATCTCCTTAAATAAATATCAGAAGTTAGGTGTGTAAAAGGGAAATTTCAAAACAGCCCAAGGGATTTGTATGTCTGTTTCCACTGGGTGCATTTGAAAATGCTGCCACTAAATTTGAGTTTGGGTATCTAGGCTGTTGGGGGTTTTTTGGTAAAACTAACCATCTATCTCTTCTGTTCTCTTCAGTGGTATGTAATACAGTCTGACACGTTTCTCAGTAAAATTCACTGATGAGAGTACTGTGAAATGTGGATTCACATTTTCTACCCCCCTTCCCGCATGACTTTTCTACTTTGGTGGGTTACTTTTTTTTCTTTTTTTCTTTTTTAAAACTTT